ACCCCTCTGTCCTTTGCCAGGTTGTTTCCTAGAACGAACAAGTCATTAGACAATTCCATAAGCTGGCTGTATTGCTCTCTCCACTGGCCTGTGCTGCCTGCTCTTCAGGAAGCCTCCCCTAACTACCCCATGACAGCTAACCACTAGCACCCTGCCGTCTTAAGGCCTTTATCCCTCTTCCGTGGTGGCCCTCATCTCCGGTGACCTTGCCTTAAGGTTGTTTAGACCCTTTCACCCCTTGGCTTATGACCTCCTTGAAGGTGGGGTCATTTTTTTTGTTTCCTTTGTCATCCTCAGCATCTGTTGGGGCTCCTGACACATCACAGGGGGTCAGTAAGTGCTTGTTGAATTGAGTTAACTGGATCCGCACCAAAAGGTCATCTCTTCGGGGACTTGTGTGTGATTGGATTCTTGCAGGGTGAGGTGGGGAATGCATGTTGGTGGCTCCCTTGCTCTAGCTCTAGCTGTGTCTGTGCCCAGGAGGGTGCTGGGAGATATGGTGCTATAAGAGCATCACACTGTCTGACTTGTCTGTATAGCTCCTAGACCAGCACTGACCCAGCTGGGATGGTGGCAAAGGACACCTAATTAGGATTCAGTTGTATGTGTAGCCACATTCATTCAGCAGTGCAGGTGGAATCTACTTCAGCTTACCCTCCTCTGGAATCTGCCTCATTAATTGAAAATGCTTTCAGAGAAATCCACTGTTCATAACATCTAACATGTTTTGAGCATTTACCACAAGCCTGGTGCTGTACTGAGTACTTTATATATTTTCCAATTCTTAAACATTGCTACCATGATCCAGTTTTGAAGATAAGGAAACTGAAGCATAGAGTGGGTAAGCACTTTCCCTAAAGTCTCCCAGCTAGGTAGTATTAGGGCCAGAATTAGAACCCAGAAAGGCTAGCTCCAGATACCACACTGAAACCATTTGTCATGTAGCCTCTAAAAAAAAAAAAAAAAAAAAAAAAAAAAATTAAAGTTTAATTCCTGAACCACTGATCAGAATCACCTAGAATTGTGTTTAAAACACATATACCCCAAGACCCACTGAACAGATTCTTGGGACTGAGGCCAGCCAACCTGCTCACTGCCGTTCTGTGTGTTTGAAGTTGGTTTTGTTGTGGTTTTCCTTCTTTTGAGAGTAGGAGGGATGATGATTTAAATCCCCCAGCTTTCAAAGTCTCTGCTGCTGGGAGACATACTTCTTGAGGCTTCTACATTAAAAGTAAGGCTTTAGGATTTTTGTTTCTCTGTCCTAGGTTACGTAGAACCAGAGGTGGTAACACCAAAACTTTTGTTGTTGTTGTTATTGTTGAGTTTTCAAGACAGGGTTTTGCTATGTAGTTTAGGCTACTCTTAAACTCATTATGTCGCCTATTCTGGTGATCCTCCTGCCTCAGCCTCCTGAGTGCTAGGATTTCAGGTGTGCACCACCATGCCCTGCTCAATTTTTAAAGAGAATTATCAGGCCTTTATGGTAGAATGAGTGTTTAATGGAACAGTCCAGAAAGCCTGTCGGAGATGCTCATTTCAAGGTACAGACCTGCTTTACTTAAGGGCCCCGCTGATGTCACCCCCCATGAAGGGACTGCCCGGAGGCACATGCCACAGGACTCCCACCCTGGTACAAGAAGTTTGCTCCTGGCTCCCAGATGAATTCATGGTCTTGCCCTTGAGTCTCCTAAAGCACATATCCTGCCTTGTATTTTTCTCAGTGTTGTAAATGCAAATCAGAGGCCTCCTGAAGCTGTAGAATAGCAGCAAGCTGATAAGTGTTTCTTCTTCCTTTATCTTTGGTGATTTCTCCTACAGCTCCAGCTCCATCCTTGTCTTTCCAGCAGAATTCCAGCTGCCCCAAGCACCTGCTTGCAGGGAATTTTTTCTTCTGGCACAGCCTCCACAGAGACTCCACACCTGAATGTTTTAAGAGGGTCCTTGCACACCCCTGGCTTTCTATTCCTGCTTATCCTTCTGTAACTTGTTTCCTAACCTTCTCTGAAGGGCAGCAACTGTCTCTTCAAAGCTCCTGTAATCTCAGCCCCTGTCCCTCATCCCAGCAATGACCCCAGCTTCTCTCACAGGCCACCTGCTGCCATGGCCTCTTTCCACGTAGTTCCACTTCCAGCTTTGCAGGGCTGTTGATCTGCCTCCAGCCATGAAGTGTTTGTAGAATAAATGAATGCTTCTTTGTGAGTGGATTCTCTTTCCTCACTTACCCCAACTTTCCTTTCTTTCCCTGATCACTTACAAATGCTTCCGTTCTTGAGTGTTCTCCCACCTTCTATCTGGAGAGTCATGAACCTGGTCCATTTGCCATCAGTGGGATTATAATTGTGCACGTGGCATAACCACTTAAACAAATGACTTTGCATAGTGATTCAGGCAGTTCTCATTCAGTTTGCCTTCCTGGGTTTTTCAAGGTGAGCAGAAGAAAGCCTCTGTTTTTATTCTGGAAGCTCATAATTGTTGAAAAGTCACCAGATGATTTGCCCCAGTGCCATGACTTCCCTGAAGTTGGGAAAAGCTGCTTGTGACCCTCATGCAGGTGACGTTCTTAGGACTCCTAAGTGAAAAGGGATAGAAAATCAGATGCCATATTTTGCCACATGAATCCATTTAACTGCTACTTGGCTCTTCATACTCTTTTAGATTAAGAACTCCCCTAACATTATGTGGGTAAGTTAAAAAATTCCTTGTGTTTGTTCCATTTTTGAAAAGAAAAGAAAAGAAAAAAATCTATGCATTGTCAAAATATTTGCTTAATCTTGCAGATTTGGGAAGTTGTGTAGCTGCTCGCTCTGACAGACCAGAACAATGGTCATTAAATGAGAAGCAGATGCAATAAAGTATGCAATAAAAAGCCTTCTATTATGGGCTGTGAAGGGGAAAAATTAGTTGTTAACAGTACACAGTAAGCGTTATGGAATAAATCAGAACAAAACCATTCCCAATTACTGTACCAAGATAATTAACGTCTACAATGCTAATTAAGGCCTGTTTATGTCTATTTCTGTTTGTGTACAAACATATGCACATAGTTAAATATTTTCTATTGTTTTTTTAGGCGATGCTAACTTCAGAGTTGAATTTTTCTGAATTTAACTTTTGTTTTTGTATCACCAGGAAGTACAGTCTCCAGAAACTGAAACTCCAGACTTTCCTCCTTGATTTTGCTTTATTTTTCTTGGCTAACTTCAGAAAAATCCTTCAAGTATGTGACACTACTTCCTTGAGTGGATTTTTCTGGCCTAGAATGTTTTTAGCTGGATCAACCAGGATCCTCCCCCATCCCTTCTTACAAAGAGGAAGTGTCTTTTCCTTGAACTTCACCAACATGCTAAATTATCTTCACATAGTATTAGAGTTCCATAGGATTCAAAATGTCCTTTGAATATGAGTCTTGAGTAAATTTAAACCTGAAGAATGAGAAACGGATAAATAACCCTCCTTACTGGCTGCTCCCCGGGGTTTTCGTCACAGACTATAAATATCACGTAAATATTTCCTGACCAGTAAGCTATAATTTTTTGGATGGATGTCAATGTTTTTTTTTTAAGCAGGAACAACAATGAACTATAATTATCATTCACAAGTGATCAGCTAAACAATTGCAGAGTCGAAAGCTTTCAATCAAGGCCCAGGAATAGCTAGTGTGGATACTGTACTTGACTCAGTACCATGAATTAGGATGAAACTTGATTCTGATCTGCTGTTGATATTCTTTTGAAAATCACTTTCTCCCACCAAAGAATCACATTTTTAAAGAATGTATTTCTTCTTTCACTCTTCTTTTAATCCTATCTACTCACTCTCTCTTTCCCCCCTAAGTTTCAGGCTACCAAGCATTTAAGACAGCTGCAATTTTAATAAAATTCTTCTTTCTAGGATTAAATCAAAACAAAAACAACTTGTATGTGATAGAGAGCTTTTGCAGCCTTTAAATCGTTCTGGCAAGCCTTTATTTCCGACCAGGACTGTCCAAAAGAACTGTAATGCAAATGTCGTATGTCATTTTAAGTGTTCTAGTAACCACATTTTAAAAACCAAAAAGAAACAGATGAAATTACTTTTGATGATATATTTTATTTGATGTAATTCATCCAAAATATTCTTATTTCAACATTTCACCACTAAAGTAATTAAGATATTTTACAATTTTTCAGATGAACTCTGTAAAATTTTTTTTATATATATACACACACACATATATATGTATCACACACATACACACACAGCACATCCCAACTCAGACTAGACACATTTCACATGTTCAATAGCCACATGGATTGGTGGTGACCAAATTATGCAGCATTCAGCAAATAAAACTTGGAAAAAACCTGAACTTAAGGGTCTTATTTACTGGAATGACCAACTAGGTCACTTTGGGATTAAAGAAAACATCACTCTGTCACTTGATTGGTGATGGATTTGCAGAAAGAAAATGGTGGGAGTTCTAACAAATTCAGAGGGTCTCACTTTGTTTTCTTAACATAAAGCTACAGGTTTTGTCCTCATGAGTCTTGCTTGCAAGTGAAGGCTGAGTTGGGTGCCTTATTAAGAAGACTCAGCCTTCTCTAACCAATCTCAGGCAGAAGGCACATTTGGACAGAAGGAAAGCTTGGTGATCCTGGGGCACCTCCCACTTCAGAAATGACTCATATGTCCCCTTGTCTCCTGTTATACCCCTGGACTGGAACCCAAGCCCCTTCCAACCTCAGTACTCAACTGCAGTTGGGACAAAGCAGGAATTTTTCTCATCTGACAGCCCTCAGTTTGAACAACCGGGTGACATGTAACAAATTGCAGATCTGAATCTGTTTCCTTCTTCATCAAACAGGAAAGCTAAGGCCTACATTGCAGAGTTGTTTGAAGAACTAAACAGGGTACAAAGCTCCTGGCAAGGTGTCTGATACATAGTAGGTAGCCAATAGATGATGACTATCATTGTAATATAAATATGCAATATTTATAGACATAATAAGGAATGATTCCTTCTGTTACAGTTCTCCCATGTTGCTGCAGTGACCTTATGCAGAAGGACCCTTGTGTTGCTCTGTGGTCCATCAATGGAAACTATGATCTCTAGTTCACAATCTTGTGTGAAGATTATCCTTGGAAAAGCTGGAGCAGGAATAGGTAATTGTTTAGGCTGTGTTAGAAAATTTCTGTATTTATTAAACTTGGTTACTGCCACTTTTCCTTTTTCGTTTTCCAGAATGATTTTAGCTGTGGATGCGAATGTTTTCAAAATCCACACTTGGTCTAACCTGGATGTGTTGTTATATCCTTATGGTTGTCATCTGCAAAGGGAAAGCAGGCATATTTTGGTCTACACTGTTTACCAAATATAGGTAAAATTCTTGGTTTTTACTTTTTAGAGGCTGTGGTTTTCTTGTAAGCCAACTTTTTGCTATTTCTATTCTCCAGTTGACTTTCAAGGTTGCAAGTTTGGCCAGGACTCACACTGATTCCTTCTCATGCATGAAAAAGCACTAAGGCGTTATTTACCCAACTCAGTGTGTGTGTGTGTGTGTGTGTGTGTAGCTTTGATCCTCAATTCTGCATTCTTTGCTTTCCATTTTGTTTGGGCCATATTTTATAGCTTATTTTATGATCCATAAACATGGTGACCACAGTCGGTTGAGTATGATGTGAGCTTACTTTGATGGGTTTTCTTTGTGATTCTGCATAGTCTCAAGCACTCTGCATGTAATTTGCTAACCAGTGAATTAACTGAAGTGTTCTTTGTGTGCAGAGCATGTGGTGAATTTCATGCACATAGATTACCTGAAGTGTGTCCTTTTGACTGTGTATTTCCCCGTGACACAAAAAGACAGTGTTTTAGAGATGGTGATAAAGTGACCATTCTTGGCAGGATAAATAGGAGAAGAATATCTTCCAACTCTTGATAAGGGAAGGAGAGACTATTGAAAAGAAAATTATGGACGTTATATTTTACATGTAACCATCTGTATGAAATCTTCCGCAGGGGAAGCGTCTCTAACTGATTTTCTTGTTCTGCCTTCATCTTCCCACTTCTTTCATCAGATAGAACAGGGCTTAATAGGCCTACCTTTCCCATCTTTCTCTATGCATATACAGGTGCACATATGAATGCATACATATATGTGGAAGGATTTTCTCTCTCTATGGAAATAAAATCCATATATATTTTTTTCCACTTAACAGTACATGATGAACATTACTAAGAGTCAGTAGATAGAATTGTAACCCTCTCCTCCCCCCAGAAATTGCTAAAACAACCTTTAATTTCCTCATACATCCAAATCTAGAAAATACACACAACCATATTATAATTCAAGACTTAAAGACAGTGTTACAGGAAATTGATTGCTTGCTAAGTCAAGTGTCGGTTCCAATATGCATCTGAGTTAAAACCAGAGCAAAAGTATATCCACATTTTGTGTAGTCTAGAAAAAAAAATACTCAAATTGGAGGCATTATCTTTCATGAAGATTGTTAAACTTACATGAAGATGTATAAAATAAAGGCATCCTTTAGTGAAGATCTGAATAAGAAAATAAATTATGAGGTATAATTTTTAAAAGTATGGTAAATGTTTCAATTTTTTAAAAACTATTGTAATAAAAAATATACTGCCATTAATCCTCTGCAAAATATTTTCTCTTGCTCGAAACACACTTATTCCATTGTTCTTGCCACTTTCTGAAGCAGTTCTGGAAGTCCTCTTTCATGAGTGTCTTTAGTTGTGCTGTCCTGGCTTTCTCAGTATCCTGAACAGATTCAAAATGTTTACCTTTTTTGGTCATTTTGCCTTTGTGGAAGAGTGAGAAGTTGAATGGTGCCAGATCTGGTGAATATGGCAGGTGAGGACACGCCGTGATGTTTTCTCCAAGCCCTCCTTTAGTTGGGTGGCACTCGGCAGCAGCATCCACCGTATTTTTGATAACACCTCATAAAGACCCTCACAAAAGAAGACTTCCAGAACTGCTTCGGAAGTAGCAAGAACAATGGGAAAAGTGTGTGCAAAGTGAGAGTAAGTATTTTCAGGGGGATGAATGGCAATGTGTCTTTTACTCTAATTCATTTTTTAAAATTTTAAACACACCATATATTTTGATCACTCCTTGTACACTTGTTTCACCAAGTTTGATATTTAGAGTTTCTCTATACATTATAACTCAATTTCAGCTAGCTAGTAGTACTTTACATTAAATATTTTATGTAACTGTTTTTCTTATACTTTTCAGTCGCCCAAATATTGCCAAGAGGCTAATAATTTGTAAATAACCTCAGTTTAGTTCCGAAGCTATACATTAAAATGTTGGTCTTGAAGTAAATACTTGGATGATAATATTTTAAATAAACTTTTTTTAAGATTATAATGAAATATATGTGCATGTATGACTGTCTCATCCAAAATGCTTGAAAACAGAAGTGTTTTGGGTTTAGTTTTTTTTTAGAATATTTGCATATACATAATAAGATATCTTGGAGCTAGGAACCTAGCTAAACACAAAATTCATTTATGTTTTATATATACCTTTACACATAGCCTGAAGGCAATTTGATATATTTTTAGCATGCCTGCATTTTGACTGTGACCTCTCACTTGAGGTCACATGTGGGATTTTTCATTTATGCATGACACTCAAAAAGTTTGGGGTTTGGAGGATTTTAAATTTTGGGATTTGTGATTCTCTGATGTGGATATATGGATATATATATTATATATATATATAGAATCAAACAGTTTCATGAGTTTTAAACTATATTTTTCTAATATTTTTGTAATTATTATTTTAGTTTTTGTAAAAAACTTTGGTAAAGGTGAACCACTATAACACAGATATTACTCATTATTAGAAATAAACGTATAAATAATCAGTTAAATGACACATGTTTAGAGTCTTTGATGGAATTAAAAGCCATGACATGGTTGTACCCTTCCTCACCATCCTTAGGAAGCCTGCCCATCTCACTACTCTGACTCATTCTCCTACAGAACCCTAAAACTACTTCAAGTCCCTTGTGAAACTTACTTTGCTGCCACTCTTCCTTCCCAGCCCTGGTCACATCTTGTCTAGAATCTGTGCTCCCTGTCCTATGGGTCATGCCCTCTGGCTCATAGCAGGGTAACGAGTATTTCCAAAAACTTCATTGATTTCTGAATCATCTGAGCAAATGCCAGCCTCTTGCTCCATCTCTGGAATACTTTAACCACAGTCCCACGGATCCCTGGAACAACCCTTGGAATCAGGAGCCTTCACTTTGCAACCTTCTGATGCTTTGACCCCATTCAACTTTAATCACTGTCCCAATCTTACCTTTGCAGCAAATGGTCCTAGGCCAGAGTCATATCTTACATTTTGTTGTCATGTCTCCTCTGTTTCCTTTAACTGAAATGGTTTTCCATTTTTCTTTGACTTTGGTGACTTTGACTCAGGTGATGACATAGGCCAGTTATTTCATGAATGGCCCTTCATTTGGAGCTGTCTTATGATTAGGTTCCACTTACGGGATATCAGGCTACAAAATATCAGGGTTCCTCGAACCTCCTTCTCAGGCCTGTTGCCTTTTCATTGAGGTGAACTCCTGTGTACTCATGCTTTTGTTTGTTTGTGTCTAGGTGAGTCACAAGTGAACAGCTCAAGCCCAGGCGTCTCCATTGAGCTCTGGAACTATAGAAGAAAGTGCCTCCTAACACCTCCTCCTGAATACCTATGACCAAACCAGAACCATTGTCTCCACGGATAGCTTGGCTCTTTATGGAATCCTCTGCCCAAAAAGTGCCCATACCAGGCCTCTTGTTTCAAAAACAATTCAGTATTTTTTTGCCTTCAAATCCAACCCATCTTCGTGTTCTGTGGATCTACCATCTTCAACATCTTTCCAATCGTTCTACTTCTGTCTACCATTGTCACCTCCTGCTTGACTTGTGCTATTGCAGCCTCTTAGCTAGCCTATACATAAACCTTCTGGCGCCCTCTCTCTCCCTTCATTTCTGTAGCCAGAATGAGATATTGCACAGTACAAGTGGGGTTGTATCATGTCTTCCACCATGACTTGCTTGCCTAAGACCCTCCAATGCCCTCCCTTTCTTTGTCCTTAGGATGGATGACTTGGTAATTTGGAGACCAGCCCCTGTGTGATGCTGCCTCCTGCTTTCTTCCTTTGTTTGATCTCACCCCTGACCTTCCCTGACTTGTTTTCCTATTTTTCCAATTACCTTAGGACCTTTGCATCTCAGCTTAACATTTTCCAAGCCATCTTGTGTTTTAAATAGCTTTATTGAGACATAATTCACATACCATACAGTTTATCCATTTAAGGCACATGACATAGTGGTTTTTAGTATATTCACACAAGTATGTGACCATCACCACTATCTCACTTCTGAATATTTTCATTGTCCACAAAGTAACTCTATCCCCATTGCTGGTACATCTCTTTTGTACCCACTAGCAGTCACTCTTCAGCTCCTACCCTCACCACCATTATCCCATCTACCTGCCCAACGCACTCATCAACTTTGTATCTTTATAGATTCTCTTATTGTGGACATTTTATATAAATAGAGCCATATAATAATGTGGCCTATTATATGTGGCATCTTTCACTTAATACAATATTTTGGAAGTTCATTCCTGTGGCGGCATGAATCAGTATTTTGTTCATATTCATGGCTGAATAATATTCCATTACATGGATGTACCACATTTTCCTTGCCCGTTCTTCACGTCATAGACATTTGGACCAACCTTCAAATCCTGACCCAAGCATCCTTTCCCTAGGCAGCTTCCCTGACCTGCCCAGTGAGGCCAGAGGCTGCCAGATGGGGTTTCATTCCTCTCTCTCTCTTTCCCTTTCCTAGCCCCCCTCTCTCCCATCCCCCCTCCCCCTCTCCCTTTCCTTCCCCCACTTCCCCCACTTTGAAGCATGACTCTTGGTCTAGTTTAATGCTGGTCTTTCCCATCCGACTATAAAATAGAGCATGCAGGGACCATATCTGTTCTGAGTTACCATAGTATCCCAACACCTAATACAGAGCCCTGAACACAGTAGGACTCTTTACATATTTTTTAATTAATTCATCCTAATTCAATTGATTAAAGCAGGTTGGATATAGGAGGCCTTGATCTGAATGTCCTTGGCATAATGCCCATCATGCTGTATATTGAGAGGGAACTGCAGAGATGCCTTTATTACTACTCTTTACTCAAATGTATTTCCAAATCAAATTCAGCATTTTTTATATTTATTTGAATTAAAATGAACAAATGGGAAAGTAACTATAAGAGGCAAAATCAGAGAAACATCCTAAAGTTAATATATCACACACCAGACACAAATCTGTAAAGGTCTAAGTTGTCAGATGTGAAGACAAATGAGATACCTCTGGCAAGTTCATCAGTATTTGGAAAGAAAACATTTTTTAACTCATTTCTGCTTTGTCATTAAAGTGTAGGGAATAATTTATAGTAGAGACATCTTTGTTTTAAACAAGTGGCTTGCTTTAATGAAGTAGTTCCCCTTCCTGTAAAGTTTACTGCAGGCTAGGTGCTGTGCTGTGAGCTTTGGGCTTGGGAGATCATTTGGGTCTGCTATCTATTTGTGAGTCAGGTATTACCTGTGTATCAGTCAGCTTTCTGTTGCTGGGACCAAATAACAGACGCCTGCAGCTGAAAGGAGGAGAAGTTTATTGTGGCTCACAGTTTCTGAGGTTTGAGTCCATGGTCAGCTGGCTCCAAAGGCGGAACATCATTGCGGGGAAGGTTGTGGCAGAGGAAAGCTGTGGACCTCATGACATCTGGGCAGCAGAGTGAGCAAGGATGAGACAGAGAAGAAGGGGCCAAGAAATGACTCCATGACCCACCTTGACACTCCCATAATTGTGCTTTACTAATATCCTATCCTCAAGCCAATGAAGTCCACAGTCAAGATTTACCGTCACAACCTGTTAACATTTTGCAGATGAGTACCTGAGGCTTTGAGAGAAAAGGTAACATGGCCTTTGTTCCATAGTTTTTCTAACTCCAGATCATATTAACTACCACTGTTTTAGTTACAGTCTGTTCACTTTGGCAAATCTCGAGTCTCCTTTTGTTATGGTTTTCATCTAGATGTACCCCAGAGCCTCATATGCTCATAGTTGGGGCTGCTGGGAGGTGATTGGATCATGGGGCTGTGATACTCTTCAGTGGATTAGTTTAAAGTTAAATGTGATGTTTGGAGGAGGTGGACACTGAGGACATGGCCTGGAGGGGTCTATCTCCCTCCCTCCTCCCTTGATCTCTCTCTCTCTCTCTCTCTCTTCTTTCCACTGCCACTCCATGAACTGTTTCTCCTCTGTGACTTCCCTCTGCCATGCTGCCTTGCCTTAGAACCAACCAGCTATGGTCTGAAACCTCTACAAACTGAGCCAAAATAAACCTCTCCTCCTTTAAGGTGTAGGTGTCAGGTATAGTGTCACCGTGATGAGAAAAGTAACTAAGATACCTTTTAACTGGAAAGTTTTTAAAAGTAGATTAAAAGTAGAAAAATGCTATTGAGGATGCCTGAATTGAAGAAAAAAAAAACCTCCACGTTTTAATAGGACAGAGGAAATAATAGCCTAGGCTCGGGGGCTAGATGGACCCGTGTTCTAGATGGGTCTAGATTTTACTTTTTATTAATTGAGCATGATACTTATTTCACTCATTTTCTAATTTTAAAAATAGGTATAATTGTATCAATGTCAGTAGTGTATAATTAGTGATCAAATGAAACAAAACAAAGTCCGAAGCTAACACCTGATGTAGAATAGGTACAAAAAATAAAATAAAAAGCCACCTCCCCTTTAATTTCTTGTACTTCTTCTGTGTTTACATGCACAGGAATGGTTTCAATATAAAGTTTTGGCTACCCCTCCCAATTGCCACTCTTTCAGGTTAATACAAGAAAATAAGTCCTGAAAAGTTAAAATGTTCATTAAAAATAGAAACTCATACTCTTACCTTAACTATGCTTCTCTTCATTTCAGCGAACATCAAGTCATCCAATACTGTCAGAGCACAGAAATGGATATTAATGAACAGTAGTGGACCCTTGCCCACATAGGACTCCTCTTGCAATAGAAGAGACAAATGGGCTTTTACTCTTCCATCAAATATAGCTCACTTATTAGAATAAATGCCATTGAAGTTGCACGGAGAAATTCAACAACCTCTTTTGCAGGGCAGAGGTTTCTGAGCTCCCTTCTAATGCAGCCAAAACTCCTGGACCTCTGGGAACCAATAAAAAAAACCTCACTTCCCACTACATTGTAATTTCCAGGGAGAGAAAATTCAGCCCATTCTGTGGGGTCAGATGTCCTGTTAGGTGTTGAAGGCATTGTTCTGATGTGTCACCTACAACTTCTCCAAGAACAAAAGGACATCCACCATGGGCGCTTCCTGTGTCTAGATATCAAGAGCTTAGGATGAGAATAGACTACAGATACCTTGGATCAGTGCCCCCTGGAATAGTGTAATTCTATTGATAAGCATTTCTCATTACTTTGTGGTGAAACAGAACTTGGAGGCCAGCAAGTGGCTAATTTCATTGTTTATGAGAGGCAAGCATACTAAACATGACACAAACCAACCGAAATAGTGGGTAGAATAGTGTCAAATATAGGGGGACAAGTAGAAAGAGAGGTGAATATACTAGATTTCCTTAGAAGTCTCTTTGTTCTTGAATATCCAAATAAAAGTTTGAACACATTTTTGTGATTCCTTTGTATAGAAAGCTAGCAGAATGGCTACCGTTGTAATTCTGCTGCTTGCAGCAATTCAGCAGCAGCCAACATCCTGAAATAGCAGATACACAATGCAGCATATGCTTTGGTGAATCTAATAATCTCATGAACTCCTTCACTGCTGGGTTAGTAATCCACATAGCTTGAATGGTGAACTTTATAAAATCCGGAGCCTTTACGAATCAGAAGGGAAAAAACAAAACTGGACAGTTTTCACAATGATGGATGACTTGCTGGCGAGTAAAATTAAATGGTTGATAATAATTGTGGTAGCTCACAAAGACTGATGTTATTTACAAAAGCTCCATTTTGCATGTAATCAGATGTCTATTCCCATGAGCTGGGTCATAATTCATATTCCACTTTAATGTTCATGGAAAATGTGCTTCTCTCGGTGTATGTATTATTTTTAGGATGTTATGTTTCCTTGGTGCATACACAATGAGCCTGAAATCCTTTAGGAATGTGTTTAATTTGAAAGTTTTATCCTCTGGCTCTAGTTAATTCAAATACACAGCTAGAACATTACTGTAGGCCCCAAAAGAATGTGGGCCTGGCGAATCGTGTGCACAAAGGATACCCCACCCATGCCACTGATGCTTGCTTGCCAAAAGGTAACAAGGAGGACTTTCTCTTTCCAAACGTTTTCCTCATTTAATTTTCTACACTCTGTCTTGACTTTAATAAACTTGATTCACACTAGACCAGATTCTTCTGCTTTTAAATGAAGAACTATTTCTGGTGGCTCTTTTGAATTGAAATGCTTCACCTAGGGACCTTTTATACACCCTTGTCTTTACCTTATAACTCCAGGATGTCCTGTGTTCCTCGCATGTTGTTCTCTACTTTTGGTCACAAAGGCCATGTGAGATGCACTTTCCTCTATAGAAGTAGGGAAAGGTCTGACAGTGCATGGTATGGACTCAAGATCAGTAGCTATCGGAGAGGAGCAGGGTCTGTCCGAGGCCCCGGAGGAAGGGGCTCCTGAAGGGTGTCAGTGAAGTACCAACCGACGGGGCCTGGGAACTGGGCCGAGCGGCCTGTCAAGGAACCAGTGCCTCTGGCTGCTGACAGGCCTTCCGGGAGGACATTTTCAGAGGCCTTGTGATAATGAGCCTTACACATTCACAGAGATGTATTTTATGATTTGAGAAGTCTGGGGAGGAATTAAGTCTTGTCCTCGTATATACGGTTGTGCCAGGAGAATGACTAGAATATTCCAGAACACCCTGGAAGCTGACATAGGTTTGTTGTTTTATTCGTGACAGGACTTTGGAATCAGAGATATGAATCTATATCCTGGATGCTTGATTCATTAGATTTATAGCCTGGGCCTGGACTGAGTCTTGTGGAGATCTTAAAATACAAAAAAGATGGAATGCCTTTGACTCATCCCCAGCCATATAATACATATACAAACAAAACAGCTAAACAAACAAATTTCTGCTTTTCCCCCAGATGAATACTACTGTATGATTTTTTAAAATACCAACTTATTTCCCCCTGCTCTGCTGTATGCTTGGCATAGGGTTTGTGTGGAAACTACCCCATGGGGGTACCATTTCTGTTTCCTGGGGGTTGTGTTAAGGAACCATACTAAGGAACCATAAGTATGCCATGAACCTCATACAGTCCCAGGCAAGTCACCAGCTCCCAACATTGGTGGACTTTTTGGTGTGACTCGTTACTCTAGAGACTTCTTGGAGGTGGGGCCATAATATATATGTCTCACACCCAGGTGATTCTGAACTACCAGTGGTACATGCGGCATAGTACTATCCCATCAGGTGCTTATAAGCCACCCAGTGAGACAGTCATGCATATGCCAACTATGGTTCAAGCCAGCGGGAAGGTGGTCATAATTTGCTAGTGCATTGTAATGCACTTGTAGTGCATTCTGAATTGAAGTTGCTAAAAATAAATGAGAGAGTATCATGGCTGTATGTATCATTGTACACAAACTGGAGTCTCACTTTTTCTTGAGCCACTGGGAGTTACCTACTGCTGCAGGCGGTGTGATGAGCTCCCTCATCCTATGCAAAATCATGAAGAAGGAGGAGTTAGTCTTGGGATTACAGTGGATAAAGGTGCATCTTTCATAGAGTTGTTCATTTTGATGTCTGCCCCAAGGGGACCCCTCATTTGCTTAGATGGAAGTATCCAAGCCTCCTAACTGGAGTGGCAGGCTCACTGTCTTAGAGGGTTGTGACTAATCCTGAGGGTGTCCACCTGCCCACAGTCTGTTCTTCTTAACTCTTCAACATCAATTCCCACCAGAAGGACTGCTCCCTCTCCACTGCTCTTTCCCAAAGAACCAAAGTCAGTGTTGCAAACTTGAACTTAGTTATGCTCAACAAGTCAGTTTCTCCTATCCTTGTCTAGACAGCAGAACCTCAAACATGGGATAGGATGGAATTAACCAGTTAACTAGCAGGCATTCTGTTTAAACCTGTATATTCTTTGCCATGAGGCATCTACAGTGGTGTAAAACATGTTCTATCACACAGGGCTCTGAACATGACCCTGTCTCCCAATTCTTAGTGCTGAACCCTATTCATTTCATTTTGGTTTTTGTTCACTTCATTCTTAAGGCCTTGTGAAGTGTGTTGAACTCTAACTGTGTTGTGTGTTTATGCATTTCCAAGTCTGTAGCAGTTGTCACATCAACACAACGTATGTCTGTGTGGGCACCATGGACAGTTCTGGCCTGAAAATAAAAATGACACCTTGAAATTTGAGCTCTGTTTATAAAGGCAATGGGAAAATGAAATACCCATCAGATCAAGCCCAGAGGCTGCATACACAGTCCAAACTTCTCTCCCTACAGGGTCTCAGCAAATAACACAATTGCCACACACAGTTCCATTCATACACCTTAGCCAACACACATTAGTGAATATATATATTACTTAATGGCTGCTGAAATTTTGAGCCTTTTTGTGTCAAGCATTTTACATGCATTAGCTCACTTGGTGGTTCCCATCACCCTGTAGGGTAATTCTGATTGTTGTCAGGACCTTACAGATAGGGAAATGGAGGCAGCAGAGTGGTGAAGTAAGCTATGCCAAGTCATAGAGCCCACAAGTGGTTGACCTGGTATGTGACTATAGTTGATCTGGTGCAGAGCCCATACCTTTCCCAGATGCCACCTCACGGTCTTTTGTCTGAGCAGATCCAACCCACTCTCTCAGGTCAGCCCTGAACTGCGGGACCAAGGTCACTTCCCTGAACAGAGCACTACATGAGGCACACCAGGCTTGCTCACACTGTGCGTGTACAGCCTCTGACTGAACCATCCTACCACACTAGGCACAGATGATGTGATGTGTGTGTCCTCAAGAGCTTCCCTGTGGGAGAAACCACAAGTTGCACGTCCACACGTCCTGATTGGTCCAGGAGAGTATTTTCCCAGTATAATGATGAAGCATGCTTCTGGTTACCTCGGGCACACCCTTCCTTGGCTGATATGGTTGCCCCAGCCTCAGAGATGCAGCAGAGAGATGTAAAGAAGGAAAAGAGGTTTCTGCACAGGGGACTGCACGCACCATGGTCTTCATGCTCATGGAAGAGGTTGAGATTAGTCGTCATTGTGAGACAGGTGTGAATTGTGGCCAGGGGTGGTGGATGCAGAGTCAAGCTGCTTGGGTTTGGATCCCTTTCAGCCTCACTGTCCTCCCCTGGGAGGTCAGGGTATCAAGACTCTAACCTCAGGGTGACTGTGAAGATGAAGAGTCAGGACCCGGATAGCAGGTCAAGTACCTAGTCCCCTGTAGCATGCATTTCCTAAATGTTAGCTGTCTTTATTTAAACAGACACAGACTTAAGAAAGGACATCCCAAGTGTAGGCAGAGATATCTCCAATATAGTCAGAGAACTGGAATGGTTGGTTACTCAAAATTCACAGCACCTCCCTTCTCCCTTGCAGGCTCCTGCTGTAGAGTCTAAAAAATACCAGTCACTTTCCCAGACTCCCTTGCATCCATCTGACCTGGTTATGGCCAATGGACAAGGGAGGAGTCCCTGGGGAAGGACCTACAAGTACCATCAGCTCCCAGTTTCAGACCTGGGATGCAGGTATAGGTGTGATACTTGGAGTAACCGCTGCTGTCCTTTCTCTACTTCAAGAGGAAGACCAAGAGCATTACCATCCATGACTTGGAGCTCTGACCAGGAATAACCACTGAGGAAGTGTACAAAGCCATCTGTCTCCGGAGGTCATGTTATGTTCAACAGACAGACAAATAAATGCTTAGGTGTTCAGAGTACTACCAGTTGAGTTTCTGATGTTTACTACTAGCTTCATCATAACTGAGAGGCAACAGAGATAACCTAATTTGGCACCAGGGCCAGTTACTACCTAGGAAAGAGAAAATACAGGTCCTCAGCACATTATACGGAGCCCCTAAAGGTTCCTTAGCTTGGGAATAGTGTGGTTTGAGTTATGGTTTAGGGAGAGAATTCTGGCTTCCAGTTCTACGATGGATTTGAGCTGTTTCCAGAATCTCATCACCATCCCCAGGGAACTGTACAGAAGTGAAGTATGATGGTCCTGTCATCGATATTCTGGGTCAGCATCCATGAGGGTGAAGGTTTGGGGAGCATCTGGATGGGAAGAGGCGGGCTCTTGGTAGTTGTAACAATAGGCATTATTTTTTAAAAAATGATAAGAAAATTATCTTGTGCTTATCTTAGAGATAGGAATATTGGGTGTAAAAGAGATTGAGTCACTAACCCTGACAAGGGTTCTTGAAGGAGCAGCAGTTCTGAATTCGAATCCTAGCTCACCTTTCTCAGGGCCGTGGATGTGTGTTACCCTCGGATGCTGAGATGAGGGGCCCTTTCATCCTGGCTTCCATGTGGGAAGGCCTGAGCTGGAGTGGTAGGACAGAGAATGTAATGTAAGGTGCAGAGGTGCTACTTGGAAGCTGATTAACTATGGGAGCCAGAAGGGAATGGTAGGAGGTGTTTCAAATTTGCAGAATCCTGACTTTGCTAGCTCCTTTAGGATTCGGAGCAAAGATGCAGTATTCAAAGCTGGGTTCACAGATGCTGTACAGAGGGGGACTCTGTGATGAGGTCCAGCACACCCTGGGCAATGTGAACCTGGAGCCCTGGAGACAAGTTCTCTATTCCTTTGATGGTTAATGCCCACAAGTGGTGGTGAAGGACATGGAAAGAGAAGATGGGTCAGAGGACGTGGGTTAGACAGAGTATACCAAGAGTAGGAGCAGGAGGCACAACGGGCTTTTTGAGACACAGAAAAGGAGCCAGTAATGAGCCATGCTATACAGGGAAAGGGAAGACATGTAGGTACAGGGTGATTGTCAGACCTTTGCAGAGAGTGGTCAGGTGGCCTTTGGAGAGGGTGGTCAGATGGCGTTTAGAGAGGGTAGGGCAGATGGCCTTTGCATAGGGCAGTGAGATGGCCCTTGGAGAAGATTGGCAGATGGCCCTTGGGAACTGTTTGTAAGGAGGGTGGAAAGTGTGGGAGAGAAGCATGGTACATGACCTTGAAGAGGGACTTAGAGTAGCCCAGTGGTTTGCTTTTCTGAGAGATGTGCTGAGGAGTTAGGACAGAAAGATCACTGAGCTGCTACCTCTTCCCTAACTAGTGTCCTCCAAACCTCTCCTTCTTCGAAGCATTAGTAGCAGTCATCATCTGAACCAGACTCGGTGTCGGCTGCATTCTCATTGTCCTCTAATGGTAAGTCTTGTTTCTTCCAGTTGTCAGTAGACAGTCTCATTCACAATGCACTTGATAACTGAAAACTATCACCAGAAATTACTACACAGAATGGAGGAGGAACCCAGGGGAAGATGTTTTTTCTCTTTAAAGAAAGGGCGTGATGAAGGACAGACATGGGGAAAATTCTGTCACTTTAAAATCTAGGAAGCAGAGGCTGAGAACAAATGGGGTTATCGTGGCAGTGTTAGAAATTTGGGGCGAGTGATGCCAGCAATATCAATTTCAGAGGAGCCGTGCCGGAGCTGTGCGTAATGTATTCCACTGGGCATGTTCTGTGGAGCTGCAAAGCCGGTGCGATTCTTGTGCCTTGCAGCAACTGGGTCCTTTTGTATTAGAGAGCTTTGGAGATGTTAAGAGCATTTGGGGATCTTAACAGAACTAAAAAGATCCTGCCTTTCAGAAGGTGTATTAGATAAGATGGAAGAAAACTCAGAGAATAAAGGTGGATAAGCTCTGTTTGCTTTAAGCCCATCAGCTGGACACATAGGTCTACATTTTGTCTTGGTCATTTCAATTAGCCTCTCTTGCAATGAGCACTGGTTACTTGGTGCAGATATATGTGTGTGCACATGCCTATATGAATATAAACACATATTAAATGTGCACAATTACATATATATAAGTCCCTCATCATATACATAAGAAATCGTGTATATTAAAAACGTGCATTTACTCTGACATCCATGTATTCATACATACTTCTGTATTCATCCGTGTATACTTAGGAGATATGACCAAAATATACAGTGAATGTTTACATTTAAAAATATTATTCCATTAATACCCCTCAAAATAGCCCTCTTATTTCAAACATACTTATTTCATTGTTCTTGCCACTTTCTGAGGTCTTTTTTCTGAACGTCATTATTCAGTATACAGTGAGTGTTTGCTGCCCTGTGGCATCCAACTGAAAGGTGAGCTCGTAAAAACAACCCAGTGTGCCCCCATCCACCTTATTCACTGGATCTGGCACCATGCCACTTCTGGTCCTTCCCCAAAGTCAAAATGACCGTGAAAGGTAAACATTTTGAATCTATTCAAGACATCAAGGCGGCCACAACAGTATAACTAAGACACTCAGGAAAGAGGAGTTCCAGAGCTGCTTCAGAAAATGCAAGAATGACAGGATGAGTGTGTTTGAAATGAGGGCGTATTTTCAAGTGGATTAATACTGTGTTTTCACTATAATAATATTTCTAACACAAGCATTCACCATATTTTTTATCATATATCGATATGCTTATGTGATATCAGCTCAGTAAACACACACGCAAATATATATGCTTATACCTGTGGTATGTATGTTTACTACACTACACATACACACATATAATTTGGAGACTTTATAGAGTATTTTCTGTACTTTACAGATGATTTCTGTATACTTCGTTCCATCTTTTGACTCCCAAAGCCATCCTGAATGTTAATGGAAGAAGAAAAGCCCCATAAATGAAGGAAATAAGCCCGTGGAGGCTGCTGGCCTCAGGCTGCCTGTGTACAAGGAACAAGTCACAGCTGGAGTCAGAGGCCCAGGTCCTAGTGACCTTAAATCCACTATACTTTGGGGAGAAATCACAAAGCAAGGTTCCTCTGAGTTTGTGAAAATCTTGGAATATGGGCAATTATGAAGGTGTTACATTTTATCATTTTTCTATCATCCTCTTGTAAAATATAATGGGCTAACAAAATATTACATAGGAGAGTTCTTCAGGGGGACCATAATAGACAAAAGGCAATTGAATTGTTTTACTAGTTTTCTTTATAACCAGTGCTTCTAAGTGCTATAAAAGGACATATTCCACTATGTAGGCATGCTGCAGTTTTCATTATATCTGTTGGCTTTGAAAACCCTCTTTACCCCTTATGTAAATGTAAACGTATCTGCAACCCCTAAATCTGTCCCAAAGACCAACAGAGAGAATTAGTGGAACTGGAATTCGTAAGGTTTTACTGTAACACCAGTTAGGAAGGAATGCACATGTGTTTGTCTCCAGGAAGGTTAGAAATGGAAATAAATGCAAAAATATGCTTTCTGGCAAGTCATCATTTTTAATACGAAGACGGAAAGCACAAGCCAGCTTTGTTTTGCTTTTTGGGGGGGCTTGTGGCTGATTTTCTTTTCTGGCTTCCTGGTTTTTGCTAGAAAGAGACTTGTTCGCTTCCCACCCACTCCACAGCCCCTCCCTAGAGCTGAAATATCCAAGATCATCCTTTTAAGTGCTCAGTCTTAGAGAAGGGAGAAGAAAGGAACTGTGATTTAAAATATATATGTACATCCTTTTTTTAAGCTTGCAAACTGGGATTTCTAGACTCAATTTATGTTCTTGAGACATTGGAGTCAAATTTATATATAGTTTTTGATGTAGGACCTAATTAGGTTTTCAGCATATCTTAATACTTTCTGCTACATCTGCATTAAAGATAACATTGCATATATTTGCATTTCATTTACATTAAAAAGTTAGCCATGCTGTACGTAACAATCACTTTAACCAAGTATCATTGACAGCAAATATTTTGAATAAGCATGTGAAAATCCAGGTCTGCACAAAGCCTTTCCTGGATTCTGTTGTCTCTCTCACATTTGAAACTCGTTTACAGGTAGTGTTCTTATTTCAGTGGCACTCTGAAGGTTAAGCCAACAAATAAGCCTGTAGGACTCAAAAAAATCTCATTTATTTGATATATCCAACCTGGAAAAGAATCACTGCCCTGATACTCTTATTGATGCTGTTTGTAATTTCAACAATAATGATACTCAATTGGGAGAATGGTGTGATTTTTATGAGCTGTTTTATAGGCGAGGGGATAACCTTGGAATAAAAGAGTTCATTCATTTCTTTCTCCATTCATATGTATTTGGATGAATCTTTTTGGGGCAACCTTATTTCCAGGTCTCACTTAATGAATCTCAGGTTTATCTGGGCCATTTTACTTTAAAAATGAGCTTTTACCAGGGGACTATCCCACCAGTTCCTCGGAATGATCTGTCTCTTGCCTTGTGCTGTGACCCCTGCCACACTCAGCTTTTCTTCTACACTTAGGGCTCCCCCAAACCTCTCTGGACTGTCCCTTATCAACATCAAGCAGTGTTAGGCAGAGCTTGTGACGTTTAGACCCTTCTTCAGTCCCCGGTGCCAAAGCCTGTTTTGTAGAACACACTCCTCCCAAGGAATGTTATTAAAAAATGGTCCTCCTCGCTACACACCTCTGGGAATTACTCCATCTTTTTACCTCTTCTTGGAGAGCCACAAGGCAAAGAGTAAAACTCTTGCTTAACATACCCCATGTTGGCACTTCCCAAACCTGTGGGGCCATGGAAGCCTTTGTTGGCATATCACCTGGTTAGCCTAGAAGACCAAGATTCTTTAGTGACTTTGATGATTTGGGGAATCGTGTTCTATTTTAAGAACCCAATCAGCCTATCCTTGCCTTACCCGCCATCACTGTTCTCTTGCTCGGTGGCTGCTCTGTAAGGCAGGTAAGTTAAGGACGGGCTGATTGGGGCTGGCAGTTTTGATCTCTAGTTTTCAAGGCTGATTATTCTCTGGGTAGGTCTTATTTTCAGAGAGAGCACACACACCCACATTATGGTGTTGATGAGAAAATGGTGAGCCCTGAACCTGGCCAATTCTCTTATTGGTCGCATTGTTTTCAGTCTCTCCCAAAGCTTGGTGCTTTTCTTTCCCAATTGCCCCTGCTGGTGCCTGCAGTCATTCCTCTGCAGTCATTCAGCCATGTCCCCTGCCCATCTTGGCCACTGTGCCATGGTTTATCCAGAGTCTGTGTAAACTGCATGCACAGTACTGACAGCAGACCCTTAGGTAGATTCTGAGAACTACGGAGTAGAGCTGTTCCCTCCTTTGTCTTGTGTCCCATCGTCCACTTCTTACAGGCCAAGGGTGCCGTGGCCTTTTCACAGGCAGTCATTGTGTACCATTTGGAGAATTCTCTAAGAATGCCTCCGTCTTCTTTTCCCATGTACACAGCTGATTTGTAAAAACTGACTTCTGTGATCCATAGCAAGTTACTTGGGCTCATTAAGTATCAGTCTATAGGTGAGGGAAATGGGGATAAGAACCTCTCCAGAGCTTGGAGAGCTGTGGTAGGTGCAGCTGACCACCTCCAGTCCTCACACCGCATCTTGTGCACAGGCTTCAGTTAACGCGCACAATTCACGTCGCTATTGTGGTCACCAGAAAATTAGAAATTGCACTTGAGCAAGGAAGTCTCTCTTCCACACATTTTTCTTTGCGATCCAATGTAACCGATGTTTCTTAACTTAAAAATTGTTGAATTGATATCTCAACTTACAAGAGCAGCTTTGTCAGTCCATTTTAAATGATTCCTACAATGCTGATTTAAGCATTTTACATTCTGATATGCATTTATAGCTGGTTTTCAAAGTTGCAAGACTCTAAGGGGAAAAAAGCTAATCCTTAGTTGGCAGGAAGGTCCCTCCCCAAATCCTTGGATTAAAATAGAATCTGCCGCTAGGGCTTTCCTTGTCTCCTGTGATTGGGATGTGTCTCGATCGCGAAGGCATCCAGTACCAGTGCCTGGCAAGTCCTTCTGTAGAAATAGAATTTGCAACTTTAATATTTATCGATAAGCACACTAATTCTCTTGATGATGGTAACTAATGCGGTACTTATACCTTATTTTTCCATAGTTTAAGGAGCTTCAGGCTAGAGGGGCAGATCCGGTGCTTGCTGTAAATGCTGAGAATCAAAGATGCTGGAGGAAAATGTAGAAGATGGAGTAGGAAAAAAATAAAGTTTTAGCAGATAAAATGTCTCCAATTAAAAACAGTCTCAAAACAAACCTCGGTGAGGCAGAATCATTTAAAAATCAGTGAACTTCCTGGGGAGAAAAGTCACAAATCACCTTCTTCCTAACTGTGCTATTTTTTTTTCTTTGGTACCGGGGCTCAAACTTGGGACCTTGCGCTTGTGAGGCAGGCAGCAGAACCACTGAGCTAAATCCCCAGCCCTGTACTGCTAGTTCTGACCACCCATTTGTCTTCTACCCTCTCGGCCTGGTCTCTCCCAGGTGTGTAAAGTGAAAAATCGATAGGAAAATGTAATTTGCTTCTTAAATCTTAGATAGTTACAGCCAAAACATTTTGTCATATTGGGTTTTGAATAATTGTGCCACATATACACTTAATTTTGCCTTGGACAGCTGGCCTTATGGCCCTAGTTAACCTATGTTTTCTCTTGTTCTTTCATCCTTTGAAAGTGAGGTTCACAGAATACAAATTCGGAAAGGCATAAATTCTAATTCCTCAGAAGACAAGAATAGAAGTCAAAGTGACCTCAATAAATCAAAGCAAGTTGAAGTTCAATAGGGACCAATGTAAAGTAGGGTACGTAGGCCCAATAAGTAGACTCACAAATTTAGACTTGTCGGGGCACAATTGCACTAGAAAAGCATCTTGGTCAATGACACAAGGAAGTGACACCCGTGACCTTGTCTATGTGCTAAGCATCTTGCATGTGTTTGCTGCCTTACAGACATACTGCTGTAATCTGCAATTGCTCTCTAAGCTCCGTATAATTTGTTTCTTCACTTTATACACATGGAAGCTGAGGTTGAGAATGGTAGCATAATTCACCATGTGTCCATGGTCCAGTCAATGATTTAACTGATTTAAGACTATGCTCTTTCCACTTGACCAAGAGCCCTTCAGCACAGAGCTGCTACTTACAAAACCAACCCAGTTCTTCCCTGGATTAACTTGGCTTCCACTTGAGAACCAGATAATAACCTTTCTATTTTGCTATACATTAATTAAAATTTAAAAGAAAAATGAATAGGAGAAACTGGAGCAAGTCCAAAAGTACCCCACCCAGCAACACAGGCAGGGAAAGGACTTGCAAGTGGCCTGATAGGAGAAGGCTTAAGGTGTTTGGGTTTGTTGAGCTAGGAGGAGTGCAGCTCTGGGGTGAGGGACATGTCAATGGCCTATAAACATCTGAAAGGCAATAAAGAAGATTTATGTTTTACAGAAATACTTGCGGTTAACACAGCACTTCCAGGTCCCTTTTTGCAATGGTTTCTCCCAACAGTCATCTCAGGCACAAGGTGGCAAACTTTTTCCATAAAGGACTAGAGAGTTAATATGCTGGGCTCAGTGGGCTATATGTGATGGCTCAGCTCTGCCATCACAGGGCATGAAAAGAGCCACAGGTGTTCATAAACAAATGGGGACAACTGTGACCCAGCGCAGTGTTATTTACAAGAAGAAGTGGCAGGCAGATCTGGCTCACAGGCTGAAGCAATGTGAGTGTCTAGTCCCACGGTGAGGAAATTGAGGTTTTGTCCAGAACAACGCACAGAACAGCTCTGGACATCGCAGTCTATTTCTGTGGGTCATAGTTTGGTGCCCAATGCACCAAATTGCAGTCATGTCAGCAGAAAGATTTCAGGGCAGTTTGTCATCCCATGGTGCCCTTTGTCCACCATGGAAATTAAATTTAAACCAATTGAATCAAGTAACGTGGTTGGTAGCCTGGTGTTGTGAAATGATGTTTTCCAGGCACTTGAGAAAGGGGTATCTGGTCAAAAAACATCTCTGCTAGCCTGAAATGTCCATCATTAAAGAATTTTCCTGAGATGTGTGAATTTCATTTTAGCAACAGCATTCTTGTATCTAGGAAAGAAAATACATAAGGCAGTTTAAGAATTCATTTCTCCAGTTATTTTGTTAGAATTGATTTTTAGCTAGCAAAGGGTAGTGTCTTAGTCATGTTCTCATCACTGGGACACAATACCCCACATCCACGACTTAAGGAAGGAGAGGTTTAGTTTAGCTCATGTTTTAGAAGTTTCAGTCAGAAACACCACTGTGCTAGGGCCTGGGCATAGGGAAGCTGCTCACATCATGGTGGCCAGGAAGTAGAGGGAGAAGGCTGGAGCCAATGAGGAAGATAAGCTGTTCCAGGTCACGCCCCCAGTGACCTGCCTCTCCCGGCCAGGCCCCGCCTTCCAACAGCACAGTCACCTACTGAACTCACCAATGGATGATTCCACTGATGAGTATAGTACCACCCTTATCCAATCACCTTACTTCCTCAAGCAGCACCAGTGAGCACATGAGGCCTTCATTGGTGGGATGTTCTCAATCTAAACCGTAACAAGATCAAGAGATGATGAGACAGGAGGAACAAATTAGCATTGATAGGACTTGGGAGTGGGGATGAAAGTTGCTGGCAAAGTGTCTGATCGGAGCCAATGGGGAAAACATTAATATTATCAGCTAGATGAACTGCATACCTAATACCATTTTGCAGCACATGGTCCTGGTGCTGTGTTTGAATTGCTTTCGTCTGTCCATCCAGTAAGTTAAGCGCTGTTCTTGTCACACTTTAGAGGCAAGTCCACTGAGGCACGAAATCTCACAGTGAGAGCAGTGGGGGTGATACATGAGACTCATGCTTTCCCTGACCTGCTTATGTAGACGTCCTTCCAAAGAGCTCTGCGGAGTGGAAGCTCTCTGCCAGGAGGGGCTTGAGTGATGTGGGTGTTCCCTGCAGCAGGGGACACTGCAGCTCTTGTCTTCGTGATAGAGACAGAAGCTAAGGGAAAGCTTGGGTAAATCAAGCACAGGCTCTCCGAAAATGAATGCATCATTTCTGGCTGGCCGTGTGGCATGAACTCTAGCTGCAGAATGCTTCATCTTCTTTGCTGAAAGAATTCTTAAGTGGGCACTTGTAGCAAGCTTAGTTAAACCTACCCTGCCTGGGGTTAAACCCTCGTAAATCAGAGTAGCTCAAGTGACCCTAGTAAATGCCAGGTACCCAGCAATGGCTAGAGTAATTCAGCACGCTTTAGCAGTGTCAAGTAGCTCACACTTCTTTTTTAGTATTCTTTTTTATGTGTAGAAAAGCTTTTGCAGATACACTTTCAATGAGAATATTTTCCCAATTTCTCCCTTGAGAAAATAAAAGGAAATGCCACATTTGTTTCCTGTTTATGGTTTTATTTCAAACCACTCTTCCAAGACGTATTTAAAGTGGATAAGATTTAGTACTTAAAAGCAAACAACAAATGTAAAGCTTTGGTTGTCCTCCTTGTCTTAACATCATTAGTTTTAGGTTGTCATTAACAGAAAACCTTTCCAAATTTCCATCTTCTCGTAGAATTCAGGAACTTTAACAGTCAGTGGAAAGGAGATAAGTAGATTGATCAATGAGATGAAGGGGTAAGGAAAAATTGTGATGGATCCATGGTGGGGAAGAAAGAAGGTAATACAAAATGGGGTTAGCAAAGAAAGGTCCAGAAGGCAGACATGTGTGCATTGAAATGAGTAGGCAGAGAAGAAAGCTAGATTTGGAAATCAGAAGACCTGGGTGTAGATCCAACCTCTGCCCTTAGCGGCATAACCCTTACCTTCTCACATGGCCTTCCCCACATTTCTTTTATGGCATGTACAAATAATCATATAAGCCTAAGAAAATGTTTTTGTGGCATGATATGAACGAAGGTGCTGGGCCTAAATGTCTTAGAATAACAGCTGCAGAGAGGCAAAAGGCCAAGCTTACTGATGGAAGTAGGAGAAGGAAGCAAGAAGCTCAAAGAGCAAATTCATCTGGTGCTCCTGGCTAGCAATCCTATTCTCCAGGCTCTGAAGTCACGGAACATTCCTACTGCCCCTATGAGTTACACAGTAGCCCCTTGCAATAAATCCTAATGTCACCAGGTCACTAATTTTCACCAGAACCTTATGCACCAAGAACAGGATCTAGGATGCATGCCATCTTAAAGACAGAAGCTTAGCAGAATCATTTGTTACTTTGGGGACTACAGCTAGGCTTGAAGCAGGGCTTGTCGGGGATGGTTTTTATTCAGTCCAGATTCCAGTGTGCCCTGAACAATTCTCTGTGGAAGATTATCCCAAGGCCTGTCAAATGGAAGTGTTTCCACCCTAAAGCTAGAGAGCCTCATAAGCCAGATTTACATTTAATTCTTCCAGTGTCCTTTCTTTTTAACTCACCATCTGACAGGGAATAGTTAGTATATAACTCAAAGCTTATGTGGGACGCTTGTTCCTCTCTGCCTCAATATGAGTTTTTAAAAAAAAAGTAGCAGTTAAACATATGTTAAAAATGAAGCAGTACATTGGGGGGGCAAAGACTAGAAGGCAGTGCCACTGTTTATTGGTTATGTTTTTCATTTTCATGTTCGAAGAATTTTAAGACCCAGTTTTTAAGTTTTGTTTATTTATATTTTTGAAAGCTGCACCCAGATCTGCACAGGTTCATGCCCTGTTTGGGTCTTTATTTCTTTTAGATAAACAGAAGATTGGCAGTGTTAAAGCCCATGTCCAAAGCAGTGAATATCAATTAGCAAATTAATGAATTAGGATCCTTTGTATGTGTCAGATGTCCAGACTGATAACATCAGGGCTAACCATGAGCTACCTCATGAGGGAACCTTGGCATTACTGACAGAAGCTGGGTTTAGCATTAGGTAATCTTGGTGCCCTGAGTTGTAGTTGAAGATTTGTGAGGTATAAACACAGTCAGGATCAATCTGATGTTTCTACTGCTCATTGCTGCTAATACCTTTGTTAAGACTGTCTGTCTGACTTAAAATCACTGATTAGTCTTAAGCTTGTAGCTGCAAATAAACAGCCTATTAATTTTCCAATCGTTCTTTGTGGTGTGGGGAGAATCAAGCAAGGTGGAGACATCTTTCATCTTCATGTAACTGGCCAAACATAGCTGTTGAAGATAAGATGTGCCCGGAATTGTGGCTTGTATTAGGCAGCTTTTTGTGATTATAATAAAGTAACTGAGGCAGGCTAACTTTATAAAGAAAAGAGATTTATTGGCTCACCTATGGTGATGGCCATCTTACTGGCCGAATCTCCAGGCCACATGGCTGGAGACAGTAGTGTGTGTGTCAGCAAGCCACCAAGACTCAATCATGGGACCTCCTCCCTAATGACCTAATCACTTTCCAAAGGCCCCACTTGTAAACACCAGAGTTTGATTCAGTTCTACCCTCTCCATGCCATTAACCTACACTATGAGGCTTAAACTCCTGTGTGAGTTTGGGGGTGACTGCCAGGAGGTGAACCAGAGCATGGCTCATCCATTCATTGGAGTGAGATCAGGGCTGCAAGCCCTAAGCCTTTATTAAAATGCACATTCTTTCCATATAAAGTTTTGCTCTGTGTTAATGACCTAGGCGAACAGTCTCCACCTCCACCCTTCCACCCAATGCGCTGCTTTCAGGGGCAAGAAGAGCAGCATCACAGCACAGAATGAGATGAAGAAGACAGGAAAAGTTCTTCTTCTAAAAGTGTTGGCATTGAAAAGCTTTTAAGCCTCAAAGGGATGAGTCATTAATGGCCTTCAACATTCCTTCAGAGTCATAATCTAATTTGCAACCTGCAACAGTCCTGTGAAGTAGTAGGCCGAGTATCCCTTTTGAACTCCACTTTGAAGAGAAGGAAACCCAGACTCATCCAAGGGAGTTGCAGCAGGTCTTGGTTCTTTCTGTGGCCCTTGATTTTCTTGTTGCATTCCTGGGTGCTGCCTATTCCTGGAGTTGCCTCTGGCCAGAGTTAACAGAGAGAAAGAAAGGCAATGTTTATCTCCCATCATT